GTGCTTGTGTCTGACTGTAGTTATTGTTGCTCTGATGAACTGATTCTTGGCATATGAGGGTGTCAGGCTGTCCATGCTGATCAACCCAGCCAGGTCAGGAGTGTCACGTTAATCTGTGTGTGTCTGTGTGTATGACTGATTTGGGGACTGGAGGAACCCAGCCCCACTGAACTGAGTTCTGCAAGATAGCTCCATTGGGGGTGAGGGCTTGCAGAAGGGAGAGATACAGAGCCATATAGAAACACAAGTAACACAAGCAGCACATTGATAGAATTACCAAGACCCTAACCCTAATAACACACTCCAAAGTAGCAGGCAAATCTGGTAACAGCACCTGGGCAAAAAGAACCACCAACACACTTACACTTGAATGGGGGTGACTTCTCAGCAGCACAGCAGTGGAAAGGGATCTTGAATTCATAGTTGACTCCAAGATGAATGTGAGTTGTCAGTGTGACCAAGTGATCAACAAGGCTAACTGCACTTTGTCATGCATTAGCAGATATTAATTATTGGGCACTTCTCAACTGTTTTTGCACTGGACAGGGTCACTGTTCCTCAGACCTATACCAACGGGGCTTTCACAATGACAACAAATGCCCTTGTGGATAGGTTCAAACCATGTCCCACATTGTTGACTCACGTCCACTTACAATGCTACCTGGTGGCCTTAAAGCTGGTCACACTGGTGATGATATCGCCTTACAATGGCTGAAACAATACGCCAAAACCACATATGCTAAATAAATAAGTGCAGTGGACAAAGGTTACTGAGGTGGATGAGTCCAGTGCCAAGAGGGAGTGGACAGGGAAAATAGATTGTGTTGGTTTTTCAGAAAGGAATCTGATCCAAGCCCAGTCTGATTCACACCCCAACTTGCAGTGGGGAACGTCTGCTGAGATTAAAACCTTCTAAGTTTGCAAATGGTTCCTGACTTTGTAATACAGTGAAGGAGCACCACAGACCCAAGTACACTGTGTTGGACAGTGTTTTAAACCTCATAGCCAGAGCCCACCTCTCACTGTCAGCTATGAAGCGTCTTCCTGCAGGCCACGCTCAGCCTGTCCCAACCACCACTGATCCTTGTACCCAGTGTCCTCCTGCTGACTCTGGCCTTAATGCTGAGCCTCTGTGTTGGCCTCCTTTCTCCATGCCACCAGTCACAAGTTCTCCAATGCACTACGCAGTCTGGGTTTCCTCTAGCACCACCCTCAAACAATAGGTCACAGCAAACAGAGTTGCATGTGACTGGACTAAACCATATTACATGATTTTGAATAAATAGGCATTGGGTCTGTAACCTTGAATAACTCCTGGATCAGGGTCTCTACCACACAGCCCCATTGCCCCAAATATCCTTGATAGCGTGTATCCAAGGAATGCACCATTCCCTTCATATCCCTCCTCTCAGCTGCTTGCTCCCGTACTGGCTCTACATTCACTGCAATTGATTGTAAGCCTCTGCCCTTCAGTAATGTGCAGCAGCAACAACGCCTCTGCTCCTTAATCCCCTTCACTTAGCAGACAGTGCGATAAAATGTAACACGGGACCTTGAAGGGAAGATAAGTCTGACTGGAGGCTTCTTGCCCTTTAGAAACGAGCAGCTGGCCCTGGCAGCAGCATGACAGCAAAGCCTGAGGAAGCCTTGGGCTTTGATCCCTCGATTTCTTAAAGGGGGTTACTGGCTATCAGTAAAAAACAGAGACAGATCTGAGCAGGGATTTTCCTGAAGTGGGCTGTACACGTATTTTTCTTTCCCTGCATATACCTTGTGGTGCAGGAAATAGCTTCTTCTTCAAACAAATTTGTCTGTGCCACAGTGGAGAAAAATAAAGGTCCCAGGTCCCAGGCATTGCCTGCCTATGGACCCAGCAAGCTCTGTAGAGGCTCCCATGTTGTGCAAAGCCAGGTTGATCAAAGCCCTTTTGATGTTTACTTAATGCATCTGTGGTCCCTTTGTAGCCCCCATATTCAAGAGATGAGTACTTCTGAGTGTCACCTACTTGCGTATGAGACATGGGGAAGACAGCAGAGACTTCAAGTATAGTGAGAGCTTTATGGCAGATGGCTGCACACAGCATCCTTTATTTGTGCTGAGCAACACTTGTGTGAGTAAACCCACTGAATCCATTTTCTTTCAGGGAGTTACACATGTGCCCACGTGATCCTGAAAGAACCTAAAATCTAAAGTGCCAATCATTGCACTTCTGCAACTATGTAAGTGGCACTTAAGCTTGTAAAAGTGAAATAGGATTTGGCTCAAAGGACTGAGCTTCCTGGATTCCTTGGTGGACAGGTATTATTATCCCCAGGTTAGAAATGGAGAAAAAAAAGGCACAGAGAGTCTCATCCAAAGCCCAGTGAAACCAGTGGAAGGACTTTCATTGACTTCAGATGACTTTGATCAAGCCTATATGGATTAAGGAATGTATCCAAGGCTCCACAGGGCTTCATCCAGTGAGAGGCTAAGAATCCTCTACTCATACTACATCAGGCCCCATTCAGGAAGGTATTTAAGCTTTTTCTTAACTTTGACATGTGCAAAGTCCTATTGAAACCAATGCTTACATTCAGGCTTATGCTTCCTGAAGCAGGACCTGAATAGACACCTGAGGATAGGGTCAGGCCCACAGTAAATCACCAGAACAGGCAGGAGTAGAAGCCAAATCCTCTGGCTCTTATCCACATGCTCAAACTAAAGGGCCAGAGCCACATTACTCATTTCTACCGCTGTATTTGTATTCAGCAAATCAAAACATTTGGGCTTTTCTACACCCTAAACAAAAGGAGTAGTTATTAATAGACTACTGAATGTCAGCACCTGAAATCTACTGGTGATTACTAGTATCTGCTGGTTTCAGAAACTGGTATCCAAGTAGCTGAGTGCTCCGTTCCAGACCCTGGTTGTTAACTAGAATCAACAGGACTTAAGTTAAAATGTTTCTGGACTGGACTTACTGCTAGGGATACACTGAAAGGTCCCCCAAGCCTAAGCACACCAACACATGCATCCCTACTTAAGCACAGACAGTCAAACAGAGCTGCTAATATGCCGGAATGATATAAACATACCTAACACTGTTTATATGCAACTTGGAGACAAAAACAAGATGCATTTAAGTCTTTATTGATAAAAAAGCAACATACTAGTGACCCCTACTGAGTTATCAATGCGTGAAAAATTAAATTCCACTGTATAGCCAAACCACTCCTGCCCCTCTGTCACCAACTTTGTGTGCCAACTGGATGTCTCTCAGTGAAAATGCTACCTGTT